TAGGGTATATATTGGGGATATGTTGGGGGTTATATAGGGATAATGGAAAAGAAAATGGAAACTACTATATTATGATATAGGGGTTTTATGGGGGTTATAGGGTACATAATATTGTAGGGACAATAATGGACAAGAAAATGGAAAATACTATATCATAATAGGGTACATATTGGGGTTACATTGGGGTTCTATTGAATCCCTTCTCCCCATTAACAAGCTACTCTGATACTATAATGAACGTGTTTCGGCACAGCTTCATTTCTTGGGAATGCTGAGAGGAGTTTCGTTTATGCACGGGGAGCCTTGATTGGGGGAATGAAGGGTGCGGTTATGCTTATTGGAAGATATTGGAAGTTAAGCTCCACAACCAGCCTAGCTGATGTCAAATAGAACTTGGGGTGATTGGCTTCTCAGGCTACTGCGAGCCGCAGGAAACAGATTTTCTAGTGCTGACAATGATGAAGCCCAGGAATCCTTGACATCATAAGGCGAAATGGGATTCAAGGCTGGAGGGAAAGGGATGACCGTAGATCTACCCCATACACAGGATCCACGCGACGGTCGGATGTGGAGTCAGAAGCCAACGCAAACGTAATGGCTGAACTGAGCATGGAACCCAAGGCTCGGCCACGCATTCTGGAGCGCCAGCATACCCTGCCCAGAGCAGACCATTTCTGTGCGCTCTATTAAGCGCGGCAAAGGAAAGCAAGAATCTGATTTTGTTCATGAAGTTTGAAGCCCGGCTTCCTCCATCCACCGTCTCTCCCAGATTTGAAGTGGAATCGCGCCGATAACCACCCTCAGTAGCTTGTCAGGCTGCAGACTTTGCGGAGCTTGGAAATAAGGCAACTTCAAACTTCCCCGAGCAAGCAAATCTGAGGCCGACGCAAGGCAGTCCAAGGAAACCTTAGACGGCCTTAGCGATTGCTTCGGCTCAAGCTGTTGCAACCGAATCTACTCCAACTCTGCCTCTCAGCACAAGCCGAGACTTATTTAGAACAATGAGAACGTACATGCCATTCCGTTGCAGTCATGCAACTCTTCAGATCCGCAAGAAGACACGTTTTGCCACCAGCAACTGCAAAAAACATAGAGTCCGGCTTCCGTTCACGAATTGTAGGCGCAAGCAAGTCGGACATGGAAGCTGTGGTCTGCATTCCTCCCAGAAAAATCAGTAAAGGCGTGATGTGGTCCTGCATGTTGGTTGCAAGCTGCCTCCCACTGCTCCGGTCGACCCTTCTCGGAAGATCTGGCTGCCTTCTCCGGAAAGCCTGCCAATCTCAGTCTTGGTTCGATTCTTCTCTGTCATCACAATCAAAGTGGAGCCGTGGGGTTCAAGGCTGCAAGTCTCTGACTCCGAGATTTGTAGGGTTGGCTGCAAGCTGAAAGATAAAGCACCTGGACTGAAGACGCGAAGAAGATGTTCGACGATCCTCAAGAGTGCTCTAAAAATTCAGCCGCATTCTTCATTTCTAGTCACAGATCAGAAAACGTCTACTGACAAATCTGATGACAACGATCTCCTCGTCGTAACCGTCTTTCCAAGTAGTAGCTGCAGTTTGATAGGATGAGCTAACGTGCAGGACTCTCCCGCAAAGGCTGCATTTGTCTTAGGAATCAGCATCATACTAGCCCCGTTAAGGCTGCCGCGCCCATGCCTCCGCGAGCCAACCTCAAGCACACGCGGCTTGCGGTAGCAAAACCGGGTTGAGTGGCTCTGTGAAAAGCCGATATAGTACATTCCAGCCTGAAGCGAAAGTCGTCAGGGTCATAGGCGACGAAATTCTGCAAGCAAATATTCAACAGGTTACGTCAAGGGCAAATCAGCGTGTCGGCCATGGCAATGAGCTCGTATGATGAACCTGCCTCCAAAATGGAAACCGCTCCAGTCGGCGGAAGCACTTCCCGATCAACTGGGCAGAGCAAGTCTATGCTGATGAGCAAATCGCAAGTCAGTCTAAAGAGCAAAAGTCACAGTTTGTCACTTGCGTAGTTCGCCTACCGCTGCATCGCCGTTGGAACACATTGGCACATATTGGCAATTCTATGAACTCCTTCCGGGGTGTTGTTGCATTCCTTTGTCTAGTTGCTGAATGCTGGTGCGTTAAACATGTCGCACCCGCGGTCCGTGTGTATCTAGTCTAGAGGAAAACAATACAAAATCGCTTCCTGTGGACAGTGGGTTTTCCTGGAGAGAGGAAACTCCGAGATAGAAGCCACAGGAATGGGTCCTCGATGGTTCTCGCGGCTAGTGTGCATTTCTGGACGGACGACAGTTAGATGGTAGCGAATTGAAATGACCAGAAAGGCATTGAACGGCGTCTTACATCTAATGGATTCGGCAGTTTCGTGTTGATTCCCCCATGCAAGCGCCTCAGGCCTGATCAGGTCTCAGGACCACACAGAAAATGGTAGCACTGTGCAATGACCGGCCGGGATTCCAAGCCACGCTACCACTCCATCAGCTTTGAGGGGAAATGTTGCCCCGGACCAGCTCCCTTTTTAGATGTTTGTGTGTTCGTTGAAAGAGTGATAGGGGTATGTGGGAGTTTGAACCGTCCTGCTGGTTTGAGAGCCAGATGAAACAACATATTTCCGATTGCTCTCAATGCAGCCAACTCATGAAACCATCAAATGTCTTGGTAGCTGCGAGACTCTATGCATTCTTTATTGTGTGGCTCAGTTGGCTGCTGAAACTGCAGCCCTATTGCAAGGGTTTTGGAGATGCTGAGGCCTACTGCATATTCCAAGTCTCACTCTCTATGAAGTGACCCTCCCAAGTCCCCCACACATGCCACTGTATAAAACAAGCCTCTAAACCATCTCCATGTTCTAGAGCTGGGGCGGACCATTTTAGGGAACACCAGCCGTGGAATCGTATCTATTCTTGTCCTGCACGGGGCAACCTTAAACAGTTTTCGCCCCTGTACCTACTCTTCTGGGTCTCTTGCCAAGATCTGCAATGTGGACTGCTCGATTCACTCGCTCCTCCCATCGAACCTCAGCATCAGTGACATGGATCAGAGAAGGCATGTCTTGAAGTATTCAACAGATATGCTGGGATTCTGCCAGGCGCACGTGACAAGCGAGAAGGCGTGTCAACAAAGAAAGTCGAAGCAGCACAGATGCTGAGTACGAAGCTCCACGACCATTGTTGTCGCAGATGACATACTTGTACTCTACCGCCGCTCCCTAACAGCAAACACAACTGAATACCCTTGGTCCGATTGTCTTCCAGATGCAAACTTTCTGAACATGCTGCCTCCTCCAGAGGGAGTGTCTCAGTCTGCTTCCACATGGGGAAGTCGCTCGCGGAGGTGTGCAGCACGAGACCTGGAGCGATGAAGGGTCGCAGCGTCACTACAGGCGAGCCTGGCGGCACACTGAACGTGCCGTGGTTGCTGAATACTTAACCAGTGGGAGTTTTTAAAATCTGGCTGCCAATCTGAGCCTGCTGCCCTTGTGTGTGTCCCAGCTGCCAAGCTTGTCAATGCTTCCTGCAATTACTATATCGCGTTGCGTGACAGTATTCGACTGTATTCGAGATGCTACTGTTTGATGCCAAATGGATCGTTGGGTAAAAGCTTTCCGAGGGTGAGCTGAGCTAAGCATCACAACCACAAGAGAAGCCGGCTTGGAGACGTCTACAGTTGAACCGACTTCTTGCTGGAAGCTCTGCAAGGCCACATCGCAGGCCTACTACTCGGACATGCAAGCCAACACCTGGGCAAACATTCTGAAGGTATGACAGGCATCAGACGCTCTCTTATCAGATGGTCTGTTGCACGATAACCTCAAAGATCGGGAGGCAGCTTGGGGAGACACACCTACACACAAAGGGATGGCAAGAGAACAGATGCTGCATGAGCTCCTGTGGCCTGCTCCTGCTCAGAGCGGCAAAGATGTGAATTCAACAGCACCCCGCAAGACTGCCATTGGCCAGGGCAAGGAGCAACACATGCACTCAAAGCACGGTGTGTAGTCAGTGTAGTCAAGGCACGAGTGTCGGCACACTTCACGGAAAACGATACCTGCAACTGAATATTGATGACGAGAGGTTTGAGGTCTTGTTCATGGCTCGAGGATCTGTCTGCAAAAGCTGTTGTCGCTTGGTTTTGCACAGGGTCAGAGTTGCAGGCTGGCGGTGTTGAAGCTACTGGTCTTGCCAGGACCTCCCAAGCCTTGCTATCACATGCTGCACCTGCAGCTACAACTGCAGTGTACTGTGTACCGTCCATGCATTTGAGGAGGAGCATGAGCTATGCCCGACAAATGTGGTTTCCTCGCTACTCTGACGTGCAAGAACCTCCATGAGTCCATGAGAAACGAAAATGCATGCACATCACAATATCACAAGGTCTCGCCTCGGACATGAATTCCGAGGCAAACTCCCATTTTCGTAGCTCAACTTCCGAGCATGCAAGAAGAATCTTAGCACAATGATGAAGCCGCGGTAATTAATAGTAATCTTGGAAGCAACTCACTGCTGAGATGTGAAAATCAAAGAAATGAATGGTGCCAGTAGAAATGAATATCAAAATCTTGACCTCGCCACTCCCGATGCAAACCTGTATCTGAACTTAAAGGGAAAGGACACAACAAACGCTTATCACAACAGCAATGGCTGAAAGGGCTCCACCTGTAGGCGGCCATTGCCAATCCAAAGGACACGTTGTCTTGTGTCCACCAGCATACTTATTGTGCGCCCTGACAGGCGGAGTCCACAAGGTGGAATTAGCGCTGAGGCCCTTGCCTGGCGCACCATCTTGGCAGGCCCGCAGGGATCTTGTCCCCTGAGCTGTACCAGGGTCTAATGTCTGTTCAGCCGGGATTTAAACAGGCGGTGCGGCCATGCGCTTCTTCAAGAATTCTCGGGTCCAAGGCATAGACCGGTATTATAGTGAGCAGCCCAAATCCGGTGCAGAACGACACAATTAACGTAGGCTAGGGCACGCTACACAGGTGCTATTGCTGCTCCAGCATTGAGCTTCTTGGGACAAGTGCTGAGGAAGCGGACGAGTCAAAGCACTGCCAAGGAGCCGCTCTGCTGAGAAGACGGCCAGGGCAAATGTGGAAAAAGATCCTGTGTGTGCAATTCGGCGAACAACACCTGTACACGTTGGAGTTCTGTGAGGTGGCTGAACCAAACCTCGTTGCCGAGTGTTGCCTGTGCTGAATGATGCTGGGGCGGCATGAGTTGTTTGTCGACTTGCTGCTCCTGAACTCTTGCACCTGACATTCCCCAGTGGTCTGGACATGATCTGATCTGAAGGCCCCTGACAGCTAGTGGATCTCTGCGGAGCGGCAAAAGCATGCAGGTGTAACAATGCTAGCTCTTGGATGCGCTTTTTCCTTGCAGTTCTGCCCTACTTTTTGCTTGCCTTGTTCTGTGGGTATAGCTGCCCCCGAAAAAGCATAAGACATCCAAGGTGCAAGTGGCGTCCTTTGACTAGTGACTAGAGCCATCACATCCTTTCCAAGATTAGAATGGCAGAGGAACAACAGTTTGGTCTAGCCCTTCCCCATCATTAAATTGGCTGCAGACCATCCCTGTTTCGCAGTTTCCACCCAAAGGAGCACATAACCAGTAGATGTAATTACACCGCATCTGACTCAAACAAGCTCAAAGGGAGGCCTTTTCCAAGGAGGCATCAGCAGCGCTTAAGACTTCATCAGGGGAGTCTTTGCAGCACGCGGCCGTTCAGCTTGTGACAGCTGCGCTGAAAATTGGAGCCATCTGGGCTCATTCCGAAGTCTCCTCCTTGCTGCAAGGTTCAGCACCTGGAACTTCGATATTATGCATCGTGCAATCAACTGCGTCCTTCGCCAGAGGCGTCTTGGTGCAGACCAGGGTGTAGGTCGTTCCAAAGTGGGCCCGCTCGTCCTGGGCTGTGTCTCCCAAAATGAGGCTGACGGAGCAGTCAAAACGCTGGGCCCGTTGCAAGAGCAATGTGAAGCCCCGCTTCAGTCACAAGCTTGGCAATATCGCGGTTCGCATAGCACCTCGTTTGATCCAGCGCAACCCGCACTGCGTAAGACAGGAATCCCTGGCACTCCCCCCGAGCAACAGTTTGCAAACCCTTCATGCTCCTGCACAGAGAAGAATGCCCGCGGAATAAGAGCCTTGCCCATATTTTTCCACATGCCGATGGATGCCGCGGTTCAGCATGCTCTGAACGAACTCCCTGGCGTGAAGGTTAGCGACTCGACCAGCGTTATCATCTGATACGGCTGACTGTCACTGTCGTGGATGGCACTCAGGACACGACTTATCGAAAACGGGGTTTCGAGTTTTTCTCCGAAGCGCAGCAAAGCGATCCGGAAAATTGGCGGAATTCATGCGTAATCCAAGGCAAAGCCCCAATCACACCCAAACAGGGCGATAGCAAGACAGGTGGGGCAGCGGACCTCAATCACAGAGTTCCACGTGGCCCAGGACGGCATCTGTAAATGCTATACAGGAATGGGTGTGAGTCTCTGCATGTACCGGTGCCAGCGGCTACACCCTCAACACGGAAGAAACCTGTTATAGTGGCAGAACAGCTGTGGTCAAACTGACCCTATGGTCACCCTGCCCGAAATAAGTCAGTCTGTCATGTACACTCATGTTGGAAGGCCTCCGCGTTGCAAGATGCGCCACTCAGCCATCACTGCTGAGACTCTCAGGTGCAGAGTCAGCTCCAGCTTTCCTGTGCCCGCGATTTTGTCGCAGATGCTCGAGCCATCCCTGCTCCCGAAGGAAAATAGAAAGCCAAAATCTCAGCCCTGGCCAGGCCTAAGCACCCGGAAGCAAGATTCCGTTTTGACACCAGCAACTCAACACGAAGGTATCGGTTTATGATTGCCCCAGTCACTCTTTCCAAGAAATCTCTGACGCTTCCAGTGTGCTTCCGAACAGTAACTGAGTCGATCGAAGCCAAGCACGCTGAAAGCTTTGCGTTTAAGCTTCTGTGCATGCTGGACTTTCGATATCGATAACATGCAGATTGTATGTAAACTCTGCTCGCTCGCAAAGTCGAGAGATGCAGGGGTTGTGGTCTCTTCTGGAATGGTGGAAACTTCGCCAGGTGCGCTCTCGAGCAGAGCAGTCCCTTCAAGACGTGAAGACCATGCACCATGCAGGTAGCATCCTTTGGATGCTCGGCCTTGGAAGTGGAAGCCTCTTTTAGCAGCTTGCTATGTTTGACTTGTAAAATGATTAATTCCTATCTTGTCCTTCCACTTCAATGGCTGTGCCTGTAGCTGGAATGCCTCCAGCAGCTGCTCAGGAATCTTCTGCATTGCTGTCACCTCGCAGCTTGTTCTTTGTTCTTCTTGAACAGATCTGTGCTCCAGCGAGAATGGAATCCTCTACTGCTTGGTACTGGAAGCCATTATAGCTAGCATTATCTTTATTACTATTACCATTATTGCCACTACTACTGTTACTTTTATTGCTATTGCTATTACTATGGCTGTTACTATTACGCTTGTTGTTACTGTTTCTATTGCTAGTATTCTTACTATTATCATGTTCATTATCTCTATTACTACATAATCCCAGTTTCCCCTGTTCCATGTTCTTTTTCCATTTGATTCTCCATTATAGTAGCCCCCCATATAACACCCCTATTTCAATATAGTAGTTTCCATTTTCTTTTCCATTATCCCGAAATAAGCCCATATGACCCCTTTGATAGTTCTTAGTTCAGCCTTCTGTTCTTAGCACGCCACGCCTCTTTACAATCACAGCGAGCAGGTCTCTCGGAGCAGGCAGAAGCCAGAACCTGCCCAAAGTGAGATTTGTAGTGATTGTTTAAACATTTAATTAGGTGTTATTTAGGGATTATTTTGGAATTGATGATTTATGGTGATTATTTATGGATATCTTACCCCAATGAAGTTGAAAAAATCGTTTCCGGCGAAACTTCGGATTCCTGCTGATGGAGGAAAGGAAATCAGCAACAAGAAAGGGTCTGACACTCCATTGATGCCGGAAGACCATCACTTGTATCGAAAAGGAATAGGAGTCTTGCTGTATTTGGCACCAGAAACACCTGATATTTTGTTTACTCTGAAGAGCCCTGCGATGAAGCTAGCAAGTCCCACTGAAGGAGATGTGGAGTTGTTACGGCTCAGAAGGAAGTATCTCAAAGGATGCCCTGATATACACTTACTTCACAAGACACGTATCGTACCCAGGTGTAGTTCTCAAGAAATTCGAAATCAGTGCAGAATGAAATTGAAAAGGAAATGGAAAATGACATGGAAATCGGGATTATATGGAGGGGGTTTATAGGGTTGAGGGTTGCCCGAAGTTAGGGTTTATTCTGTCGTAGTATTTGGGGTCTTTATTGGGGTTGCCCTGTTTAGGGAAGCTACCAGTTGAGACTTCGAGGATCACAACCACCAAAGAGCGAAGGAAATCCAACAATTTCTTGTATTGAAGTCTCTTTGCATGCTACAAGCTGCCTATACTCTGAAAGCAAAGCCCAAGGGCCAGACCACTGCAAGCGAACCTATCATCGAAGGACTCGATTTTGGGAATCCTCGTCAAAGAATTTTAACGCAAAGCTAAGCGGAAATAGGCGGGAAACCTTCCCAATAAGGCGCTAAGTGCTGGGCGAGGGCGACTGGGCCTCAGCATCCGCGCTGTCCTTAGCTAGGTCGATTTCCCTCGCGGCCTGGGGCTGCTGAGAGAAGCTGAGTGAGTCTGCTTTGGTGGATTCTGTCTCCACGGAAGAATTGGAGATCGTCAGCAGCAGCCTGTGCATAAAGTTCCATGAGACATGGAGCAACCTGAAGTAGCAGCCCCGAGGCAGGCGCGCGACATTCACCGGCTTTGCTGGGGGAGGTACGAACAAGCCTGGGCAAAAACTTGTCCGTGACATCAAACACCCTTCCGGATCTTTCGGTAGCTCCTTGTTTCCGGTGAGTGATGGCCCTGCCATCGCCTACCGGCTCTGGACCTCCAACCATGTTACGGGCCAGTGCGGAGGGAACCAGTATCACACAAGGCCACGGAGGAGGTGAGTTCTGCCTGGCTCAGAGGGGTCAATGCGGAGTTTGCCAAAAGCCAGTTCCTCCGAACCCATGGAGAGGATCATGGGAATGGTTAGCTCTGGCTTGCCTGCCACCCGGACATCACGTGTCTGAAGTCGAGCAAAACTTAATCCCTTCCGTTTGATGAACATCGGAGATTGCGGCGCTCCAGAGGCCAAGGAGGGCGAGCGATGGACAGGACTGGCTTGCTGCGCGCGCCGAGAAGGTGAGGAGAGTGAGGCTGTGTAGCTCGGGGAAAAACAAGAATCTCAGCAATCAGCGCTTGATGACATGGGTCAAATACCATAACCTCAAGCTGGCCGATTTGACACGGAACTCATACAGCATGGGGTGGCAACCATGAAACCCATTTCTAGTTCGGCACTTGACGCCATTTCTTAGCATTGGGGGAGAATAGCAGGCATAAGCATTCGGAGAACCAGAAATGGCTTGTTCAGTTTGTAGTCTTCCAATATGCCGCAGACCAAGCGACTGCAGGGGGGGGCCCTTGATGACGGGAAACCTTGAGCTAATGGGGGTTGGAAATTGTAAGCTGTCCATGCCAGTTTGCATGTGCATTTTTACGGGGGATGTTTGCACAGCTCTGACAAGTAGCATTCTGCCGAAAGTAGTTCCATGAAATGAGTGCGTCAACACTCTCTGAGCAAAGGACTGGTACCAAGAACATGTAGCAGAGCTCCGCGAAGGGCGACCTGACAGCTGCATGGCGCTAGCGTGGGTGCGTGGGCGCGTAAGAGTGCTCAAGGCAAGAGTGCTCACAACAAAGCTTCGAGTCTTCTAGGTACACAAAAGTCTCTTTTATTTTTTAACCAGGAAGCTCGATGAGGTGCCTCGTCACAGTCCCACCGTCGCAAGCGACTCACAAGCCTTGCATCAATCGCTGAAAGACCTCAAAGGCAGGAGGGACAAGGAGCATTTCACAGGCCTGCCAGCCTGCATACTCAACGCTGCTCGTTTATAAGCTACATGTAAATACTATTACGTATCCGTCGCTGGCGGCAATGCAGGCTCAAGGCAGCGTTGAGGCATGACCACGCAGCACACTTCATGGTGTAAACTGCTGGGGCCAAATCCGTAAAATGCCCCAGCCATTTGGCCGCAGATGGCACCTTAAGCACTATTCAGCCACATGTCATAACGTAGCAAGGATCTGCATGTCAGTCGGACAAGTTACCAATGGGGCGCTCCTTTCGTAGAAATTCGTTTGGAGTTCCCGTCAGGACAATCAGCAGCTCCAAGCAGTTCGTGGCACTTGACAAATGCAAATTTGCAAATCCATGCCCCCAGTGCCTGTCGAATCAGCATCGCCCAGAAAGTTCACACACCGAGTCAGTGCCTGAAGAGCAGTGCTGACTTGCTCAGCTGTGCCTGCTCGTCAAACATGTAGACAAAAGCAATTCGTGCCAGATTGCCTCCATGAAGGAAGTGGTGTGGTAGAAGCTGTGCATCGCCATCGCAAGGCCTTTCCATGTTACCAGTAGCCTAGCATAGACCACAGCCCAGAACCTAAGACCAACAGCACCGATGTGGAGCAGAGGGGCCGTCCAGGCTGTAAGCCCCAATGTAGTTTGGGCTCACCTGATCCATGAAAGCTCTTCAGAAAGCCCAGCTGGCAACCAGAGCAAATGCCAGGAGCAGCTTAGGGCTCCGCTGGATAGCCATTGTACGTAGAGCCTCTGGCCTCCAAGGTCTCCTCCAGAAAAGGACCATCAGCATCCTAGGCGGAGCAAGGCGGAGCAAGGCGGAGCAAGGGCTGGAATCCAATGCGCTAGCTGCTAGCAACAAAGGGCCTGAAGTGCACACAGCAGCAGCACAGTCTGAGGTATGGTCTCGCCAGTTCCAGCATCTTTCGCGGCTGCCCTGCGCGCAGGGTGACACTTGCCGCTGCTGGGCAAAGAGCTTTCCACGCTTTGAGAACGGCAAGAAGCTAACGGCTTGGAGCTGGTGGCCTCTGGCTCCGCGGACCGCAGTAAGCGCACCTCTTTCGGGCTTCAAGTGTCATGCCATCAGCAAAAGGAGATCCCTTGCTGACCCTCTCTCTTTGTGCGTAGCTCTAGCGGTGCAGCTCACCACATCCCTGCAACCACTTCTGGCGCTAAGCTTCTCGCAAGCTTTCTGTGAGGCGCAGACGGCCATTCCTGGCTAAGGTATTCCTGGCAGTTTTGGATCTGGCTTGAAAAATTTGTGCGGCACTTTAATCTAAAAATCTAATTATTAAGCACCCCTCCCCACCGCAGGGCCCCAGATCTCTCGCTCGCAGAATTGAATTGATTAGATACTTGGTAGTGCTCATTTGCTGCGAGCTGGCCATAGTTCTCTGGGCAATTTTGAACATCAGGGACAAGACACAGTGAGGAGCTTCATACGGGGTAGGTCGGGAAGCAATGCTTTTGCATGGATTCTACACATGAGTAGCCTGTGTCTTCGTGTTGACAAGTAACATGGCATCCAAAACGAGGATGTACTCTTACTCTATACTATTGAGGGGTATCTCCCCAAAGGAACGCTACACATGAGCATTGTTTCTTCCTTATAAAGTTTCTCCTACTAACATGGAGGGCCTACGCGAACTACCCCGAATGGTTGTTTCCCTGCGGAAGAGACTACGCGGGGATANNCTATTCAGGTGACTACGCGGACTACGCGGCACAACTGGTCTACACAACGTTATACGCAATACGTCTCATGAAACATACAAACTACGCAGACTACGCGGACACGATAACCTGCACGTGACTACGCGAGACTACGCACTGCAGGGCCGAGGCTACGGGAGCACTCTTGCAGTTTCACGGCCATCATAGCTCTTTCATGCAGAAAAAACGCTGCTCACATGGGCTTCATAAGTTTGAAAGTTGGACGGCAGAATCCATCAATTGCTTGGTTCCTAACGATTCTCATGGCTTCCTTGTCATCTCAAATGATCCAATGATCGTGCCAATATGACTGATATTGGCCCTGGTGCCTCCACAGTCTGGTCTAGGAAGGCTGATGCAGTTTGGGTGGTGCCAGCACCTGTGCCACAATAGACGGGAAGACGTAGTGACAGCCGTAGCAGGATCAGGACCAGTAGCAGCAGCAGCAGCAGCAGCAGCAGCCTACTATTCCTACCCCTAGTAACAGTAGCAGTATCAGCAGTAGTGGTACTAGTTCTACTACTACTGCTACTGCTACTGCTACTACTACTACTACTACTACAATGATATACTACTACTATGATGATGACGAGGAGAACCATGACGAGTAACAACAGTAACGGCATATAGCAAGATTACAGGTAGAGCAATCGTAACAACTTTGAGCATCGCAACAGTCATAGCAATGAAAGCAGCAGCAGCAGGAGCAGTAACCCTCGCAGTCGCAGAAGGAACTAGAGGAGTAGCAGGAGCTTCTGGAATAGGAGTCAAGGTGGTGCTGGTGGTGGGGGCGGCGGTGGCCGCGGTGGAAGAATACTGCGACCCTTACTGTACTATTCTCACGGTCATTATGATGGTTATTCGTATGGTTGCTACTACTACTACTACTACTACCAGTTACTAAGGCAGTAGAGCAATAGCCGTAGTAGAAGAATACGCCGCATGAAAGTACGTGGCTGCAGCAAAGACGACAAGCTTGGCAAAAAAAAATGAGAGTTGTCCGAAGCAGCTGTAAGCGCCGGAGGGGCGGTAATGATACTCGTGACTTGTAAGCAGCATCATCATCATCATCATCATCATCCGCAGCAGCATCAAAACCACCACCATGATCAACACATATCAATTCCAACATCATCGAAATCATAATAATCAACGCCACAAGTAAGAAAACCCCACCAGAAAACGATGCAATGCAGGTCTGCAGTCAAGTGAGCATTCCATCGTCTTCCATTTCTGAAAGTCTTGAAGTTCAGCGGATCTTATCCAAACAGGTGCAATTGCCGCTGGACACGAGATCCCGGCTCTCTCGGTTAATGGCTCGAGCGAGGAAGAACCTCACAAGGATCTGCTTCTGCAGCACATCAGCAACCAAGCACATGCAGTCAAAGGATAAGATCCTTGCTCACAATAAAGCCTTCACATGTCTACGCGCAATACAGGCCGAGAGGCCCCAGGAAGTGGCAGGCGGCCGCTGCTATTGGACCCGGGTGTGTGGTGCGAGAAGACTCCTCGCCTGAGCTTGTCTGTAGGGGACTTCTGGGCCATTCTGCACCAGCAAGTACAGCTCTGTAGGCTCTGCATGACGGACTCCTTGACTGGTGGCTGTGATGGCCATTGCTGTCGTTGCAGGATGTTTGCATGCGCAACTCTGCCGAAGCCCGAGGCCAACACTGAACTCCGCAGCCTCAATGCCATCAGCGCTCAAATCTACATACTTCCAAATGTAATTGCGGCAGCATCACACGACCTTGCCTTCTCTGGGTCGCTGCTGAAGAAGATGGGCACAGGAGCAAGACCTCTGCCAAACAAATTGCTCCAGACAATTCGGCCCCAGAGTTGCCAGCCCCTGTCCGCTTAGAGTCTCGAGTGTAAGTTTTCTTCGCTAGTGCTACCAGCTTTACACCCCTTGCAGCTAGGCGCACACACCGCTGAGCGCAAGGCGCATGATGGAACCATTACCAGCATCCTGGCGAAAGGCGTTCACTCAGCATGGAGCCAAAGAGCATTGCTGCATGTTGCTGCGGTGCTTCAGGAACGCTCCCGTTGCCGGCTGGCCTGGCGACTTGATTCAAATCTCGGAGATGGGCCTGAGCCACTTTCAAATCGTTGACGTGCAAAGCTGAGCAAAACACGGGAATTGCTTCAATTCCTATTTCTTCTAGGTGGCGGTGGTGGTGGTGGCGGTGGCGGCGGCGGCGGCGGTGGTGGGGGTGGGGGTGGGGGTGGGGGTGGGGGTGGCGGTGGTGGCGGTGGTGGCGGTGGTGGCGGTGGTGGCGGCGGCGGTGGTCATCGTCGTAGTACTATAGGAGGAGGAGGAGGAGTAGTAGTAGTAGCAGTAGTAGCAGTAGTAGCAGTAGTAGAGTAGTAGTAGTAGTAGTAGTAGGAGGAGTAGGAGTAGGAGTAGGAGTCGGAGTAGGAGTAGGAGTAGGAGTAGTAGTAGTAGTAGTAGTAGAGTAGAGTAGAGTAGAGTAGAGTAGAGTAGAGTAGAATAGAGTAGAGTAGAGTAGAGTAGAGTAGAGTAGAGCAGAGTAGAGTAGAGTAGAGTAGAGTAGAGTAGAATAGAGTAGAGTAGAGTAGAGTAGGAGTAGGAGTAGGAGTAGGAGTAGGAGTAGGAGGAGTAGGAGTAGTAGTAGTAGTAGTAGTAGTAAAGTAGTAGTAGTAGTAGTAGTGGTGGCAGCAGCAGCAGTGATAGCAGTAGTAGCAGTAGCACAACTACTACTAATACCATAATACCAATACTAATCAAAATGAAACTCATGATAAGAAGTACTACTATCACTACTACTACTAGATGGCTTTGATACGAACAACTCAGCTTCTAGCTGGAGTCCATCACGTCCTGCATGTGACTGCAAAATTCATCACAGCACTCTACGGCAGTCTTCAGATACAGCTTGCGTTGGGGGAGCTGGAACTCGGAGGTGCAAGAGATCCTTGAGAGACACCGCCACATTTCCACCGAGGCCCACTGAGCCTTTCCGCTCACTGTCCTGAGGGGAGAGGGTTGGACTTCAGGATTGCAGTACTTCGCCGATGCCAGGCCACTGAACAATGGTCAATGAGAGAATCTGGCACGTCAGCTAGAAGCAGATAAGAGCGCGACTCGACGGAATGCATTGTTGTACCCGCGGTGCCACCAGTTCCAGAAGCGAACGCGAATGTCTGCTCCATCATATCCTGCAGACGACGTGCAAGATCGCAGGGACATTTAGACTTGATGCTTGCACTTTGGCAGTACCGTGACGTGTGTCTGGCAGACGCACTTAAAGCAGGCATTCTTGGCCTGTCAAGGAAAACGGAAGGAAATTGACGGGCAGAAATTCGGGACTGACGGAGATGCCAAGAAAGCCTGGGACAAGGTGTCCTCGACATACGAGCAGCGAGTCAGCCAGGCAAAGCCCCATGGAAGTGTCGTCGGTCCACCTTGGCTCTAGAAACATGCCAGGCCACCCAGAGATCCAAATTTGCAGCAGCTAGGCATATCCTCCAAGTATTATAAGAATTAGCAAGCCAGTGTAAGCAATCGCGAAGATAGCAATTGCGGCAGTCTGTGGCGATGTGCTTGTGCAGACCAACAAGACGTTTACGTCTGAAAGTTTCCTAAGCCATGACCAGCGCGAGATGCGTTGTTTCTGCCTTCAAGAAGACCCTTGCTTTGAGTCTTTGAAGAGCCTTAATTTGGCGGCAGCGAACCCAATCATAAGCCCCCAGCTGCCCAGGCTTCAACTTGAATTTGTTGAAGCTCCCTTCCACCTGCGCAAAGTGTGTTTGTGCGAGGCTCCTGGAGATGATCCACAGCATAAGAATCTGCCTGAAGTGTGTCTGGGTTGAAGCGCGAGCCCTGTCAAGCAGCTTGTAGGACCATCCCCTCCAAGCGCAAAGCTGTGACCCTCCTTCTTGCCAACTGGTAGAAATTCCAGGAAGGCGCCCACGGAGTCTGCTACGGCCATGCCAACCATGGCTCCCATCTCGGTTGCGCTCCCGCCCAACAGGTCCAGACAAGGATCCTACTTCTTGGACACGACTAGTTCCTAGATATTCCTGGTTGCTGCAAGTGAGGCCCGGGCGGCACGCTCAGTGCGGACTTCTGCCGAGGCCAGTCGCAGGACCTGTCAGCGATGGCCCGGTTCGATGATCGAGCATGGAACTAATGAGCAAGGCTGCGGACCTCTCGCTTGAATCGCGCAGGCAAGGAGTCCAGAATGCTGAACTTCTGCACGTCAGGTGCCAGGATGCCTGCTCCACATAAGGGAGTCAGGGGACAGCAGGCAGGCACTGAGTCTGAGGGCTTTGCCGACATCCAGGCGATCACGACCTGCAAGGGTCAAAAAAAACGCAGCTATAGCAATAGCAAGCTCATGAATTGCTGCACCTGGTCATTGGAACGTTGGTGCAAACAGTCACGAATGTCTGAATTGACTGAGGAATTGGCAAAGCAAAGCCACCGCACGCAGGGCGGTCGACTGCAGGGCCTCCTTTCAGCTTCCACAAGTCAGGAAAATCTGCAACAGTGCCAACAGATGCCAACAGTGCCAAGGGAGCTTGTGCTTTGAAGCAGGCGCCAGCCTGCAGCTCGTCTGGCGAAAGCTTGGGAGGCGGTCCTGCAGCCACACATGCTTGTAAAAGGCCAACAACGGCTCCGAACAAGTGAGACTCCTCAGCCAAGCCAACAATTTGTTTTCTTCCTGCTGCTACTTTGATGCACACAGCACAGGGTCCAAATGTCAACGCATCGCCGCGTCTTTTCAGAAAGCTCGGCAGGCAGCAGCTCAAAGCCTTGCTTTACATGGACACGATTCACCGAACGTGCCTCGAAAACTGCAGACTTTATGAATGCGCCTCCCCTGCTGAGCGTTCTGGAAGCATTCCGCGCTCCCAAGGTCTGCAAGATCTATTATTAAGGCTGACCCTGCTAGCTTTTGCGGATGCTTCACAAGCTGGCTGTCATGTCTTGTGTTGGCAGCTCAAACTGAGCTGTGGAAATTGATCCGGTCTACCCATGTGCCATTTGGCTTTTGCCGCTGCCGGTGCTCCTCTCTACCAGAGCTGAAATGGGCAAGGTCGAGCAAAACCAGGACATGGCATGGCACCTGCAACAAACTCTCCATCATTTGGTGAGGTAGCTACACCTGTCTACGAATGTTTGACAGTGCATGCCTGTCGAGAGGCAAGGAGAGCAGCTGCGTGCGGCATGCAGACGTCCATGCCCATGGGAATCTGCTCTACACAACTTCAGAAGAGACAACCAGCAACCCGACGAAACGAGAAAGCAAGGCCACTTCGATGCGCCGTGCTCCAACAGCAGGACCTGGCCCCATCTTTGCTGCAGCTGCTTACTGTAAAGATCAAAAGGTCAAAGTCTCGATGAAGTCAGATCCCTACATGAGCTGCTACAAAAACTGCAGATTCAGAGTGCAAGGACTATGTTAGCTGGTGCAGTTGCAGCTGCAGAAAACTGTACCAATTGGCTTCCCTGTTTCTGCAGGATCTATGGGTAATCCGTTCCAAGTTTACGTCTCGAAAGTTTGCCCCGCCCCCGCGAGTCAGCTTGCTGCATATCACTGTCGCTTGACACAAAAAAATCACAGAACATGGCCCTGCAAGCTGTGCCTGGCCGTCGTCTTTCAGAACCCGGCGCATCTCCTTCAAAGCCTGCCCATGCCAAACCAAGCACGCCTGCGCTGCACTGCAATGATACGAATGATACGGATTCATTTGTCACGGCTGGACCTGGACAGGCTGCTCGAAAGAGCAAATCCCGAAGGTGTCCACGACTGTATCGAAGGAACCCTCCTGGCAGAGCTGTAGTTGCGGCTTTGGGACAGGCCGAGGACGCAATGCAAAACTTTTCGCGCATGCATGATACTTACGAGAAAAAGGACTTCAACAGCGCTCCTTGAAGTCCATCTGGTGTGTGCTGGTCAGTTTCAGCCGGAGCGGGATTGGCTGCCACATCAGGGACAGCCGACAAAATGATCTCACCAGCTTCGTGACTAAGTACTTGCTTGGCGTCTTGGTTGAATTGTAAACAAAGTATGGCCCGCCATCCGACAAATTCACAGGCCGCACATGGCACATGCGAGAGCTAGAAACACCATCTTCTCCTGTTTGTGAGTAGGACAAATGATGACAAATGGTTGAGGTCCTGACCATCCTCCCCAAAGCAGGTTGAGTCAAAGCGTTGCGGATTTCCGCGCCTCAAGTTCCTTCCGCTTCTCTCCGGCAACCTTGCAGGCCAAAACACTTCGAAGGATCCATGTGAAGTTCGTGTGAAGAGAGCTGTCCAAAATCCGGCACAGTCTTTGGAAGCGACTGCTGAAAGATATGCCAACGCAATCCCTGAGTTGGCTGTTTAGTGAGGGAGCACATCAGAACAGCGAGAAGATACGAGTCGTCTGGCCTCCAGCATTTCTCTGCTGAAGTCTATAGCCGTAAGGCTGGTCACCTTTCCAGCATTGTAGTACCTGATGCAAGTACAGTTAAGATATTGACTTGGCCCACGAGCACTTAGAATTGGCGAATGTAAAGTTGCTCAACACGACTGGGAATTCGGAAGCCTGATATGTGCAATCTGCTTCTTGACTGAGTTCTGTTGCGCGCCCTCCATGAACAACTTTAGCCTTGCACACTGCGCACGAGAAGTTTCTCCCGCTGCCCACAGCAACTTCCAAGACATCTCCTTGGCGAGAGGCTCAGGCGTTCGGAATGAAGCTTCCACACGCTGGGCCTACCACATAACAATTCTAGCACAGTGAGCGGGTACCCAGCTGCAGCCCAACAGGCAGATAAAGACTAAATCTGAACGTACGGGTACATATGTTTGGACAACAGCCGTGCCGGGCCAACTGATGTTTTGGCAGCAGCCGTTGTGGTCACAAGCAACTCCTGCTAACAACATCTATCATATCTATGAATTGTTGTGATTTCGGTGGCCCTTCCTCAGGTGATAGAACTGCTGAGGTAGCTAAGCGAGGACGCAAAAACTCCTGAACTACTGAAATTGCGAGAATCGGGTCGAGCACGGCTGTCATTAGCTCTCATTAAGTGGCATGGCTACTACCCAACGCCCTATTGCACTCCCAGGAGGGTCTTGTCACAGCCCGGTCAATTCAGGGGTCTCATGCTTAGAAAAGCACCCGAAGCGCGCTGGATCAGTCGCCTGTGCAAAAGAGCCAAAATCGAAAAATACGCAAGTAGCTGCATTATCTGAAGCACCATCGTCCGAAGCAGCCATGAAGGATCAGAGCAATGCCCACCTTCTCATCCTGCCGATGCCGGCAAGGAACTCATCCGACCGTACCTCACATGATTGAAACAGGCACCGGGCATTGTGAGCATCCATTCTTACTTTGTTCAGCTGCCTTGAAGACTTGCCATAACCCAGTCTCATGGAACATCCGTCATTCAACTACCTGGGGCAAACACCGTCACATCCCATCGCTTGGCCTGTGGTGTCTTCGAGCAACAAGCAGGCACTGCTGTGAGTACAACGCTCTTGGTGCCCTGACCAGGTTGTCGAAGGTCTCTTTGCGGGCCTTTTCTGATGGGCATGGCCTGCATGCAGGATCTTGTAATATGCATCTCGTACTTCTTGTCTGCTACTGACATTGGTCGGCTGTATCGTCATTTGGTCATCTGTGCTCTCTTAACAGCCCAGGGCAGGGAACAATCACATGCAGCATGTTTGAATCCCCGCTGCTTCGGTGGCGGTGGAGATGCAACCAACTGTGTCACAACGAAGGCGCCGATGCAGCCGGTGCCTGACGGAAGTGCGAGTGGCAGCTCTGCTCTCATAATTCAGTAAGAGCAGTCTATTCTGTGCCAAAAAGTGATTTACGCAATTTGTACAACACAGCTGGGCTTACATTTGGCAGAGGTGTCTGCAAATTGCAACGGGCTGAAGTAAGACTTCAGGCTTCTATGCTGCTTGGCCCAGGGGCGCTGCTCAGCGCACCCACGGCCACTGCTACTTGCCGCCCCGACGCCGCCATCGGGGAATAGGGGGCAACCCCTAGCTAAAAGTCTTGTCGCTTGCTCCTTCTTGTGCTGGAAGGTTGCGTCAGACTGTTCACTCATCAGCTTCTAGGCAGGAACTCAACGGCACAAACGCTATGTTCTGCACCTTCTACCCCACTCTCCAGAAACAGGACTTTATCTGATAGGTTGCAAGTACTGCGGCTGTGCCTCATGGCACAATTTGTCGCGATGATCCTTCACCTCCCGTTGCATGTTCCTTTATTGAAACATGTTGTTGTAAGCCCTTGCGCACATTGCTCATACGCCCATTCATTCCCCACAAGAAAGGACGGCCTGCGGCCCTTGCAGGTCAACGTGTTCAGCTTGCAGCCTTATGAAGTGAGAAAAGGTAAGGAACATATGCCCTGCCTGTCCCTCGCGTTGTGCTAGGATCTTCGCAATCAAACGCCATTAGCTTGCAGCTGCATATATGTTTGGCATGGAGGCTGAAGCTTCTGGCCATGCGCAAGCTCTCAGCGATTAGCGTGCCTGCATGCTTCTTGTTCTTTCTAGGAGCCAGGAAGCGCATCCAGCAGATGTACCCCTGAATGCGCTCCCATTGCATACCAGTCTGCCCTACAGTTTCAAGAGTACCGCACGTGACATGTTTCATACTGCACTCGCGCCCCAGTTCGGTCATCCACAAGCGGATCACAAAGAAAAGGCACAAGATAGGGCGAGGTTCCACACAGCTGTGTGGCTGTTGTGGTGGATGCCCTTGTGAGGAGAAGGCTTCAAATTGCCCAGCTCCCCGAGACATCAAAACGACTGTACAAGGGAGCTACATCTGCAGACTCCGAAGTCGAGTGCCAGAACTCTCGACACTAGAGTTGCCAAGACGGCAAGCACAGGGACTGACGACCACACCTCACCGCGCAGTCAAAGCCGGCTCTGATCGGTTGGACACCTACTTCTGGAGGACAACGCATCGGATTTGTATAGATAAAGAAACATAATGTCCCCCACAAGCAAGGTCCTAGCCCCACAAAAATGGGCACTTCAAACAGAGCTCAGCGCTGCCGGTACCGAGAGGTCGTCATCAGCCAAATTAAACTCCAAGACGGAAGGCCAGGGTGTTGGGGCTTTTGCTTTCAATACATGGACTTGATGACGTGCACGCATAAGCAATGAACCATACAGAAGCCCAAGCACGAGCCCAGCGTTTAAAACTACTTGAAGCTGTGTGTCATGCAGGACAAACGGGAGCGCGGCCCGTCTCTGTTTTGGGTCGCAGCCAGGTCTTCAACAGATTTGCCCTGGAAGTGCTTCAGCCTAGCTGCAATGCAGCTTGGCCCGCACCATGACCACATCACCCTAGCATGGCAAGATGGGGATACCCATGGATACCCATGTTGGTGCAAAAGAAAGCTGTTGTGTTGCTAGCTTATAGCCTTGCTATGTTCTTCATCACGGTCATCGTCCGGACTCACATGGGTATTCCGCTGCGCTTCCTAGTGGGATGTTTAGTGCATTTCATGAAAAGTCATCTATACAAAGCGGGGTGACGTCAGGTCATACCTGTACGATGCCCCCAGAGCACACCTCAGCAAACACAGGGAGCTGTTCACGAGTCAACATGACCGGACACCGCAGTCCAGGGTCCGGGCACTATGTCCAGCGCAGAGAGCACTCCAATGACATCGCCATCCTCGTCGACGACCTTGGACACACATCTGCGTGCTTCTATATACTTTTGCACGTACCTCTCCAAGGTCAGAAATCATGGAAGTCTATAGTAGCAGCTCAAATTGTAGACACGTCTCGAGCAAGTGGTGGAAATCGCATTCTGACATGGTCAGCGCTGCCTGAAACAAGGCTTAATCAGGATGTTTAAGCGGAAGTGCGGCCAGTGCTCACGGATTGACCGTCAGAAGTTGGATCTGCAGAGCTTTTCGTTGAAAAACGTGCAGGACGCAGGTCTTCCCAATCTCAGTTTGCACAGCTCAGCCTCCGCCAACGTTGCGCTGCATTGGATTGATCGCTGAGCAACTGTCTTGTGCTCCTGACCAAGCCAATTAAGCCAACCAAGGCACAATAGCGACAGCAGTTGCCCACCTGGATGGTCAGCCCTCGCAGCCAGCCAGCTACCGTTGTTGTGTTTCCTGCAACGATCTGCGTAACAGAGGGACATGCAAGAATGCAAGGAAGATCCCAGCCTCTGAGATGTTCTGAGAAGGCTCGCAATGCGTCTGAAGAGGTGACAACACCCATGACCTCTCCATGCTCCTCGAAATCCATTTGAACAACTAGAGGGATGGAGGCTGTCGGCTGCCCCAACTCTGCGGTAGAGAACACGAAGTGGGTAAGAAGAACGCGGAAAGACCTCTAAACAAGTCCTGATAAAGCGAACAAGAAGGAACAATACTGGAAGGACGGAAAACAGGAAACACCATCTCATGGTGGAATCAGTTGCTCCAGCTCGCGTATCAGCAGTGATGTCTTTCCCGTGACAGCCGCGGCGAAGCTTGACTTCCGAGATTGAAAATACTAGCAGAATTGCTGCTCCTGCTGCCATTGCTCTTCCTCCGGGGTGAGGTCTTCCTGAGGGCAGACATCAGCTGCATGCTGCACATGCAAGCCCCTTCCTGGCCTGGCCTAGACCTGATGTCTTGGTTGATAAAAACACACAGGAGTGAACGTAATACAGCTTCACCAGCACTAGCTTCCAGAGCTAACCCATCCAATCGAGGAGCTTCGGCTTCGACTCTGCCCTCGGGTAGGTCCCCATCCAGGGCCGCGTCCACTGAGACTGCGCCACCAGAGACGATCAGAGCGCAGTTCTGGCGCGCATCCTGAGCGCTTTGCTGTTCTGCAGCATCCAACATGAGGGGACAGGGCAGCTCTTTGGGCATGATTTGTCACAAGCACAAACTCCAGATGCGCTTTATGCTCACTTGCTGGCCTAGTGGCGTGCATGGTCTCAAAAACTTTCTGCAAGGAATCCCTCAGCTTGCATGTACACCTGAGACGGCAGCATCACTCACACACGCGACCGAAGCGATCAGTTCGAAAACTGATGCACAGAGGGAAGTTGGTTCGACTTGCTCACAGACAGCGGCTCTTGCACAACAGCAGCATGATGGAAACCGACAAGCTGTGACAAGCTCTCTGATGACTAAGGTCCCAGTGGCACTCCCGCTCGATCCTTCATTGCCTGCTCAACGGTGAGGTCAGCGGCGGTGACCACGGAGTCTGCCGCCATTCCACCCTCACCCGTGACCGCTCGCGCTGCGATGGTATCGATCATGCCGCGGGCAATGTCCAATGCGGAGAGGATGCGCAAGGACGAGTTTTCCCCATCATTTTTGCTGTGGACAAGCATGTGATGGCACGCGAAGCCAATTCCGTCCTCAGCAAGGCTGGTCATCTCGGCAGCAGCTTCCGCTATCGGACTTGTCGCGGGCAGGGTCAAAGCTGGAACCATAAAGCCAGGAAGGCGAGCATAGCTGCCCTTCAACCATTCTGAAATTTGACATTGCCATGGGATTCCCTCAACCAATGCAGCCAGCACGTCATTCTCCGTGAGTACACCTTGAACTCTGCCATCTTCATCAAAGACCACTGCAGCGGTCCTTTCCGTAGATACCAATGCATCGACAGCGTCTGTGAGGGTATAGGTTACAGAACATGTCGCCGTCTCTCGGCGGGCCACGATTTCGGCCAAGGTGACTTGCTGGGGCAAGTCGCCCTCGAGTTCTCTTTCCAGCTTGCTCTTCCTCATCACCGCTCGCTTCTTGGGTGCTGGCTCTTCACACTTCACCTCCTCTACTTCAACCTTAACTTCTGTCTTTATCTTGGCACCGGCCGATGGATGCTCGTCGGTCTCCTCCTCCTTCTTCACGACTCCCTCATCTCGGCTCTTGTGCCTCCGCTCGATCTTGATCTGTGGCGCGCAGCTCGGAACGGCAACCGCTTGCCGAGAGCTGCGTCGGGAAACCTGAACCGCAAAACTTGACAAGTCCTGTGTCCACACATGTTTTGACATCGTGTTGCTCTGCCAAGGAACAACTTGCTCTGGAGAGACAACGCCGACAACGTTGCTGGTCCCAGGTTCCATGGCAACAAGATGCCGCGTGGCGCCTGAGATCTGCAAGGGCAAAGATCCTACGCATCGCTCGCGATTTCTGCAACAGGTGGACGCCGCAGTAACCACAAATTGGGCCTATTGAGTATTGCTCTTCCAGACTCTTTGTAAGTTCCCGTGCACATGATGGTGAGGGAAGGTCATGACCTCGTTTTCTTGCAAGAGGCTGTCGGGTGAAGCCAGCGCTGTCAGCGCCTGGGTCCTGGGCATTGCAGCAACATGGCAAGCCCTCCGCATTTTGCACTCTGCGCAAGTCTCAAACTCGAGATCTTTTGCGTTCTAGAGAGGCTGCTGAGCAGGGTGAAACCATGAAGCATCTGCAAGCAGGCCACAGGTCTGCGTCGGCCGGAATGGATTGGCCGTTGAGCGCCAGTCGGCCGGGTCTGTTTGCAAGCGCCATCACAAGCTGCCAAGTCAGAGAACTGCCGCAGACGAAGTCAACTGCTGAAGTCCAAGGCTAAGGCCTCGAGGCCAAACGATTCCAAGCTTCCAAAGTATGGGAGAGTTGCTGGTCAAAGGCCCACAGGGCATCCTTGGCATCCAAGACGGCAGCAACCCAAACTGCACGCGACAGTCAAATGCAGGAAGACGAGGAGCTGCCACAGTCGCTAGGCCACGAATCCTGCTGCCATCCATGACCTGCACTTTGCACCCTCCCGCTGGCTGCAAGTCATTTTGGAGAGGCTAACTTGAAACTCATGATTGGCGAATTTGGGTATTACGTGGCCACACCAACAGGAACTTGTGATCTTAGCGGGGTTGGAAGATGGAGTCCAAGGTCGAAAACGCCCAGGGTGCTTAAAGCAACGGCGACAACGACCATTGCGGTCCATTATGGGGATGCTGGTTGCAATAGTAACACTACGTAATCATGCTCTCCATGAGATTCCCCCTGACGATACGAACAGGAGGAAGCAGTGGTGGTCACAGTGGATCTTCACGAGCTCACGCCGCAAACTCATAATGCGTATGGTCAAACATGTCCACAATAACAAGATGTTGATGGACAGCCGGGGACCCTCGTTTAATAGAAGGAATCTAGCGCGTCACAAGCCCCCAAACACCCCCAAAGTATACCAACAGTTCTGTGAGGAGAACTATGTCCACCCGCAGCTGTCCCCGTGTATACATAACATGAAGCTGCACAACATTCAACAAACACCTTCACAATCTTCAGAGGGGAAGCCTTACAATCTTCCGAGAATCCCCATGCACCCCTGGGTTGTGCTCCGCCCAGGAACCACCGCCAGAAATTCCCCTAAAACCCTGAATCCCCAAACCCCCCGAAATCCCGGAACCTCCAAACCCGCTACATTGATCCTCCAAGCCCCAAATCCTTAATGATCCCCCATAGAATCCCTAAAAAGAGGAAACCTATAATCCCACTGTTAACGAAACCCTGCATCCCTTCCAGTAACTTAAGTCTTGGGATCACAGTAGTGTGAGCGCCCTAAGCGGTGCGAAATATCCTCCATCCACGGTAATTACAGTTGCCCATAGCCCCGGAGGGTCCGAAGGCCCCCTCTTTTTTAAGAACCTTACCTCTCTACTTAGCAATGGATCCTTATCGTAATCCCTATATATCATCCCCAATAATGTAATATTTTCCCCTGGCTAGCTTTATCCCCCCCATATACCCCTTCATACTCCCTAGATCTCAGGATAATAGAGAGTCCAATCTCTTCCTCCTAAACCCTAAACCCTAAATCCTCAGTCCTGAAACCCCTACACCCTGCTAAGCCCTAATCCTAAATTTGAAGCTCCAGTCTTCCCCCAGCGGGCCAAGGCAGCTCGGCTCGGCGAGGCGAGGAGCTCCTCTCCCAAACGCCCAGGAGTTGTCTGGGGCCTTTAGGTTCGGGATTCAGGGTTTAGGGTTTGGGGTTTAGGTTTTTTTTTGCAGCGGCTGTTTTCCTCCTTGCGGCGGAAACAACCTACTGGTCAGCCGGTGTGACTGTCCTCCAAACAACCCCAGCACCGGTCACTTACGGATCGGCCCCAGAGAAAACTCACAACCACTTCTACATCACCCCTCATGCGACATTCGACTCGATCCATATCCTTCTCCGTCCGGAACGTCTTTTCTGTGGCAAGGGCTCATGGCCGGGTAGACTCTACATCACTGGAGGACGCCACCGTGTGGCATTGAGTGCCAGCTTCTTTTTTGTCCACGAACATTCGTAACCCTCGATCTCCAAGCGCCGCCACAATGTCCATATTGGTCAGCGTACCCCCAGTCCATGCCTGGAACAAGTCTTCCTCTGTGCCCTGCAACTGGGCTTCGCCCATTACTGTGGGGGACCAGATCGGCCCATCCGCAGGTTCCACGATCATTTGACGTTGTTGCCCGCCTGCCTGTCCGTTTGGCGGACTTGGTACAAACCGAATTGCCACCTGAAAGGCAGTGTTGCATCTCATTGGCATGAAGCTCCTGCCCATCACAGAGCCATTGCAGCGTGCCGTAGCTGTGGTGTAGACACCTGGCTCGGCCCCCCACTCCATAAGCTCGAGACAGTGCTCGTCCCATGCCCTTTTCCGCCCGCGGCCCTCCTAGACCAGAGGCGATGCAGGAGGTTGCTGCGGCATCTGTCTTCCCTGCATCATCCTTTGATTGAGCGCCAGGAGGGATGCTTGCCAGCGTTGCTCCACCCATTCCGTGCAGTCAACGACCTGAGATGTCCTTATGGGCATAGCTTTCCAGCAAATGCACCATCCTCTGTAGGTCCCCAGCCACATGTGGGTGTTGGAAGCGAAAATGCGCCGAGGTTTGCAGCTTGAACAGAAGGAGCTCAGCACACCGGCTCGCTTTCTTGCCCTCCATTGCCGACAGTTGATGAGCAGTTTGACTGGCAACCACATTCCAGGATGTTGTTTGCATCAATGATGTCTCATGCTCTTGTCGTTCGGCCCTGATTTGCCTTCCTTCGTCCAACGAGCGGCCAATCTCCGTCAACAGGGTTTGGGGTTTAGGGTTTGGGTTCAGGGGTTACATAGCCCTAGGGCCTAGAATACAGGGGGGATCATATGAAAACTATGGGGGAGGGGGGGTGGGCCTTGGTAGTGATCATATAGTTGGGTGACTTGAGGAGGGAATGGGGTGGGGCATAATGTAGGGTTGTACAGAAACCTTTGATTAGACAAGTGGAACTGTTGCTTCCGGAAAACTTAGCGAGGGCTCCATAATGCAAGGTGTCATATTTCGAGTAGTTGTTGATGGTGTTCAAGCATAGGCTCCCAGTCCTGCCCTCAGGACCTCCAGTCTTCACAGTGTATGTGATTCGGGACGGGTGCTTGGAGTTTCCGAAGCACTCCCGTAGCTCTACCCACCCTGAAGCGCGGAGCTCAACATATGGATTCCAAGGGGTGATTCAATGGCTACGAGTACCATTCAAGAATGAGATTGCTCCGCTCTCCGCGTATTGACATCCCGAGATTTGACTGTTGACGACGAAATCCGCAAAGCTTGATGAAGGGAAACCACTAGGAGACTGTCCATACTCTAATCTATGGCCCGATAGCATCACAGGTAGACCCCGAATCTTGGACGCTAGTCCCTCAACCATAGGCCCAAAACCCTTTTCTCGACCACCCATGTGCTCCTGCAGCAGCTCGCGGATTGTGAAGCCTGCTCTAAGCATGGGTGCCTGAAGCTGGCTGATGGGTTGTTTTTCGGTACTGTTAGGGTGGTAGTTTCTGGAAGCAGCGACCCCACGCATGCCCTGGAAGAGGTTCCCTGTTTTCAGAACTCAAGGATAAATTGGCGACCCGTGCTTACCAAATCACCAACCGCTTGTGTGTGGATGGGGCCTGGTCAACAGGCTCCATGACGTCCTTCACTGACCAGCGAGTGCTGTGGCATAGACCCAGAAGATCAAGCAAGTCCCGAGCCTGGCGGCTTCAAAGGTAGCTTCTCAGTTCAGTTCGGGGGTTTGTGCATGCCAAGGGACCGAACAAATTGGATCTTCTACCAGCTCATGTCCTGCTAAACTGCCTGACCGGCCTGACCCTCTGCAAGTGCTTGCACGATGCTCCGCGCAGACAGCCTGCCCGGAGCTGACAAGTTCATGCAGCGCAGGACAAAATTTTGGATTTCAGCCGAGCATCAACCCTCCAGCATAACCGGCGCTAGGCTGCTGTTCAACCAGCAGCTGCCTGATGTACAAGGAAGTGTAAGTGTAAGTAAGTGTGCAGAAGGGAATGTAATAGTTTACTCGAGGTTTTGATGAAGGCTGTGGCCATGCCAGGAACTGAACTGCCGAGGCATGTGCAACAATACATCCTAAGCTATATGCACCTTCGGTTGGGCAGCATCGTCATTCAACAGTTGGCTATGGCAGTCAAGCAGGATTTCTGACACTGCTCACACATTCGGCACTCAATGCCCTTGTCATATCTACTACATTCTGCTACTAGTTTCACAAGCAGCCTGGGCCATTTTCATCCAGGCCACGGTCGGGCTGCACGTCGAGATGGTGCTTGCCGCAAAGACGGCAAAGCTTCACGCAAGGGCCTGGTGGGAAGGTGCTGTTCTTGAATGGTGTTGAGTCCGTGAAGTTACAGGATCCGATTTGCTCTCTTGCTTCCTACCAGTAGACGTCTCGTTCTTCGAGGGAGTGCAGAAATTCGTCTAGAACATACTACCAGAACATACTAGCAGCTCGCATTCATAGGGCTTCTCACAACAGGGATTCATCACAGGAAGGAATCTTTTGCAGAGCTATCCAAAGCGCGAGGCACTGCTCGCTTCGGGTCTTCTCTAGACCCGGCGCATCGAATGCGACGCCGCCTCCTGCAACCCGGTTGCTCTAAAAGCTGTTGAGGCTGCTCGGCTCTGTCGCATCCCAAGCCTAAATGTGTAGACTTTAACAATTGCGCAAGTCGACTTCAAGTACGCTACAAATTGCATACTTTACAGATCTGACTTTGCACGATGTTCGCTTGCGATTGCCAGAGATGTTTCAGCGCAGCAGCCTCCTCTCATCCATTGTCCGACTGTAGTGGTCCATGGGGCGCCTTGGACATAACCTTGGATATCCCAAATGTCAAGCTCGCAGAAGCGGAACACGCCTGATCAATCAAGGTTTGCATCGTCATACGGAGAGTGGAGACTGATCAATCACAGCCATGTCGTGCTTGGCATTGAGGTGGGCCACTCTGGAGAATGTCATCTTCTGTAATGACGCCAACGGGGTCGCCCAGTCTTGGTTTCGACTGCGTGCTGCATGCAGGCAGGAAGCAGAGAGAACAACTACCTTGTCACTCATCTACAGCACTCTACCGGCATGCTCTCATTCTAAGCGGCTCGTTCACCACGCAGCCAGCAGCTTGGCCTCCATGCTTTTTATGCTTAAAGTGCAGCACACAATCTTGTAGTGGGCTGCCGGAACGTACACGTATGTTCTGTGCAAAGTCGCGGCCAGCATTTCCTTCCGGTGCCTGTGGACAGGAAGAGCTTAGCCACCTCTCGGAGAGGAAGCTGCGCAGAGCAGCGAGGCAGCGCTCCTTGGTCTGCCAATTCACTGCTCGCGGGGTAGAGGAATAGCTTGACTTGAGAGCTCATGGTACATGGCCTAGCTCAACAAAAAAGCCTTTGTGATTGTTTTCCGAGCGCAATGCGTCTCATGCGTGTTGAGTCTATAATCTGGCTTTGGATCACCGCATGGAGTCAAAAGTTATCAAACAAAGCTCCACCTGGTCTGGAGCTTTCACATGCAACTGCAAGGAAGGAAGCCCTGGATTTGGGGCGGAAAGTCCCGTACAGTTCAAACACGCTCCGGGTGATGCCTTCACATCACCCAGGGCTGAAGAGCTTTGGTAAGCCAGACTGGTGAAAAGAGGAGCGGCAAACTACAACCACTCACACGCAGCAGCTGGCCAGCTGCCTCCACAAATCCAGCTAGATCTCACAACGAACGTGCCACAAAGCAGTTTTTGGAGCTCGTCCTGTGAGGTTCCATTAAATTGTTAAAGTCTGTAAGTTACTTGCGATGAAGCAGCTGCTCGCAATCAAACAGTCGCCCAGCTATCGCGACAGATTGGACAAGCGTTGGCGCACTTCTTCAAAACATGCCAGTCGGTGTGACAGCTTTCGTGGAAGATATGTCCGCATGGCAGCAGCGAAACTCCATCCTGAGACTTGAAATCCTCCAAACAGCAAACACAAGTCTGCTGAAAGCTGGAGGGTTGCCACAGCACATCGACTTCCTCCATCACTCTTTTCACTGACCGGGTGCCCTTGCTTGTTTCTGATGTCCGGATCTGCACACGATGAAATTTGGGCTGAGACATCTCTTCTATGGAGCCGAAGGACATAGATGCCCAAATATGCTCCTGCACAAGCTCCGTTTGGCGCCTGCATCTATCACTGATCAGCACACGAGCCACAACGATCATGACTATTGAACCGATGACCATCGCCAGGAGCATGCTTGGGAGCGATGACTTGTCTGGGAAAATCGTGTAAAATACAAGGCAGGTGATGCAAATCGAGGACCAGCCAAACATTCCCACTCCCAGAATCTGCACGCGCGGCCGCATATCCATCTGAGCCAAATTCATAGGGGCTCCCTCCTACACGGGCAAAAGACTACAAATTGCTTGAGCCCCTGGACGCGTTGAACAGCTGTGGGCAGTTCTGCAGCTCTCCAAACATTTGCTTCCAACACAGAAACTCCCTTTTGCGTTGGCACACTGCTTCCAGAATAGTTCGGAATGACATGCAGGCATGTGTGTGTGTGTATATACAGGATGACCTCCAAACCGAACCGCGAACCGTGGAACGTACATATACATATATCCGCCGACCCCGCTCTGCGGGTCGAGCGCCGGGGAAGCCCTCTGTTCCATTTCTTGGGACCTTTAGGGAGTCTGGGGAGTTGTTGTGCAGGCAACGGGTCTTGGTGTTGCCACAACATTCGTCCAAAGTTAGGACGTAGTCTTATTTGCGACAACCGCTCTAGCCAATGTCCTTATTGCGTGCTGTTTTCCAGACTGGGTTCAC